ACTCTTTAACCATGCAGAGTTACAGGTGTGCATTTAAAATTGGAGGGACAATTTTAGGCAGCAATCTCTCGTTACCCTCGGTGGAGTACCACTACAGTACCAGATTCAGGGCTGTATATTAAGAAAGTTAGGCTTTTTTTGTATCTTGCTGCAAACATTGTTTCATCAAGATGCTGTATTGAAATTACTGCTTATTTCTCCCAGAATCTATGTGCTTCTTGGAGATGTCATCCAAGTGGTGATGCACGTTTTCTGCTGACTGACCAGCTGGTATTGTTGCAGAAGATATTTCTACCTAGCAGTCTGTAACTGATTCTGCTCCTTTGGATAGCATTTGTTTTGGCATTGCTTACTAGTGTTCTGGTTTTTTATTTATTATTTCTGAAGTTATCTGCAAGACTTGACAGTCTTAGAAAATTAGATGTGTTCATGAACTCTACGAGCCCTCTGTTCTTTGTGTGGATGGGACTTTTTTCTGTGCTCTGACTAAAACCTTGGGTAAAGTCTTTCGACATATCCGGTAACTGATTTAGTGCCTCGTTGTCTGACTTGCTTCTGTTTTCTTTCTTATTCCCCTCTCCTCGTCTGTTCTTGCTAACCATTGTGGTACGTACTCTTTCATCCGTCAGAGACCTTTGACATGGGAACAGTCATCGGGTGACCCTGGCTGCGCGTGGTGTTGGCAGGGACTGATTTCCTTCATCTGTGAGAATCACTGTGTTAAGAGTGTTTGGCTAGGAAGAAAATACGGTTTGAATTGCTGCTTCTGGGTAACGTAATCAGTTAACAGAAATAATCTACCTCATCTTCTCGTGAACAGAGTGAGATCAGGTTCCTTGGCAAGTACTGGACCCTTTTGTAGTTTGGTTGTCTTTTGGAAGGCCCTGTGTTGCTGTTATGCAATTTCCCTGTTGCTGCGACTTGAGATTCTTTCTGTGATGTGTGCATTTGTCTAGTCTGCTGCACTAGACATTGACATCACTGCTCCCTTGATGAGAACAAAAAAAGGATTCTGTAATATTTTTGAAGAAAATGTTAACTGGATGAATGCTTTTATTTTAATTCTCCAGTTTTCGTATCATGGATAGTCAGGTTTTGGGAGTCCTTTACCCTCCAACATCTACATATGATTATATTTTCACCTTCTCATGCCAACATGTTACGCAGGTATGAGCAGGTTATGTGGGCTCTGCTCAACTGCTTGGTTGAAGCTGAACATGTATAGTAATGGAGATGTTAGATAGCGTGGTCAGGACCAGCACCCTGTGGAACAAATAGGATCTCCTTTTCATGGGAAAATGCCTGAGACAGAGGACAGCCCAGTACTCTGGTTCCTGTTACCCACTCTTGGAACTGGCCATTTGGGAACCTGTGACCTGCCTTCAGGTGGAGGGTACTCACATAGGACGTCTTTAAAGCAAAGAGGGCTCTATACTGTCTGGAAGGTAGAGGTATCAGATGGTATCTGGTGTTTGTGTATCTTTATGATGAATGTTAATACAATGTGGATCATATTTATGAACCAAAGTGGAGAACAAGAAACTTTAAAAATGCTTTTATCCTTGACATGAGCTAAAGATGGTGGAGTTACTTCTGAAGATATGCCATTTCATGGGCTGGCTGAATGGTTTTGGAAAAGGCAGATCATGTTTTTAAGCTGACAATCCCTGGTAGTTAGCACTGTATTAGAAAGCAGAGCATTTTAAGTTACGTGTCTGCAGAGCGAACCATGGCACCAGAGCTGCCAACTGCAGCACCCTTGCTGGTCAGGAAGGCTCTTGTGGCTCTGCAGGAGCCTAGGTAATCAAAACACTAGGGTGAAAGGGCACTGGGTGCTCTTGCTGTTCTGCTACTGGGTATTGCTTTTGTTTCTTCCCCTCAGCATTGGTATGAAGTAGGTGTGGGCTGGAATTGAAAGTCACAAGAGTTTTGATACATTCAGACTTTTCTTAATCCTCTTTGACTCCCCTCATTGCTGCCCCCCCTCCACACTTTAAGCCTAATGTTTTGAGCTGTTGCTAATTATTCCCATGCAGGGCGATGGGGCCCATTGTCATCTTTCCTATAGCTTTTCTGGGTTTTGCTGTTCTACTATTACTCCCTGAGCTTTGTTACTTCAGCAAATTAAATCCTGGGCAGATTTTGTTCCAACATCGCTCTGGGCCGTCGCGAGGAGGCAGCTCCCTTGTTAAGTTAATGACCTGCATTCTGCCTCCAAGGCCTTCTTTTGCTGTGCAGCCCTAGGGTGATGTACAGCGTCAGTATTTATAAACTGTCTCTCTCCTCCTGTCATGGTTCCTCACCTAAGGACGCAAATAGTGTTTTACTGTCCTTGAAGGCTCTTTCTGCTGCCTCTGCCAGTCTCTGCCAGCTGAATTGCTACTTCCTTCCATTTTCATAATGTATCTGACAAAATTGCTTTCCTCAGGACAAAGAAATAGTGCCAATCAGCTCATTTATGTTTTATTTTCTGACGTAATTTGCTGCCTACATCTTTGCGTCAAAGTTTATCGTTCACTGTTTCTCACTTCTACCTGCAGATGTGTTTGCTGTTTGCTTTTCATGGCCACTGCTCTCAGCCTGCTGATGGCTGTGCTGCTCCTCTGTCAGGATTTCATTCGTGCCACTCTCCTTTCTGCTTGGTGTTTCTTGCAGCACTTCATTGACCTTTCAGGTGCCAGAGGAAGGAGTATGCTTTTTTGTGCACACCGAGCATCACCAGACATGACCTTATTAGCACATTCAGCTTTCCTTGAAGTTTCTCCATCTGTTCCCTCTTCATACAGTCTCTTCGCAGACTTTTACCTGTGTCCTGGGCCTCAGCTCTTCTTCATGTGCCTGTCTCCTGCATTCACCTCAAATAATCTTGTGCACTGGAGTGAAAAATGCCCTGCCCTGGCAATCCAAGTGTCTTTTTCAGCCACTTCGCATCTTGTTTCCAGTCTTGAATGGAAATCTTTTCTCCTAGGAAATACCCTTCTTCTTACTTGCATTTTTATAATGCCGCCTCTGCTGGTTTTCGCCAAGCGCTCAGGAGGCAAGTTTTCTTGTAAACACAACGTTGTATTGCAATGAAGTTATTACAAAGCCAACTAAAATTGCTTACTTGGAAGAAAATTTTTTTTGCAGTGAGTGATTTGAGGAACATAGTTCTTAAAGGTGATGTTGTCTCTGTTTTTGTGCTGTAGGAACAGCATGTTGCACCTGAAACACCTGCTGTACCAGTACTCTAACTGTACTTGCTTGTTTGCAGCATTATGCTGGGTGGAGTGCTCCTCCCAGGCCCCTGTGGTTAGATGCAGTAGAAAAGCTAAGGAAAAGAAATTGGTCAAGAGACCAACTCAGAGAGGTTGTAGGTAAAGGCAAGAAAAATATAGGAAAATACAGGCAGAAAGAATAAGGAAAGAATTAAATCTTTGTAGGAAGGGTACTGGCAGTGGTCTCTGCACATCTGTACTACTCTCAGTTTTCAGTTTGCGTGCATATGGAAAGGTGCCTTAGCAAAGGAGAGTTGCAAGGAGGATTAGAGGAGAGCATTGAGAACATTTGCAAAAGCTGTTCCGTATGAGGTAGGAGCATGTGCCAAGTGCTAGTTTGAAACATTCCCAAGACGGTGATGGTAGCTGACATCATGCGCCAGTAAGAGGTGCAAACTGACCTCTTGATACTGGCAGAGAGAAAATCATGATATTGGGAAAAGTCAAGACAGGTCACCAGTATTTTATGTGGAAAAAAATAGAAGACAGGGAAGAGGCAAAGATACCTTTAAAGTGACAGACTTGCAGGGATGAGAGTGGTAATGGTGCTTTGGTCAATACTCGATTGCAAGATGTTACAGTGACTGAGACTCAGTCTAGTCTCAGCTAGTTGCTTTAGTTGGGTGAATCAATAGGGAAAGGCTGTGATGGTCATGTGAAGAAGACAACTCATCTTAGGGCATGAAGGTTTAGGAATTGAGTCAAATAGGATTGCCAGCTTGTGACTCTGATTGGTTGGGAAAATAGTGAAGTTTTCCAGCAGGGGAGAAAAGCAAAAAGTAGGAGGTAGGTAGCAATATGAAGTTAAGAGCTTAGTTTTTCTTCTTGGCTTAGAATTAGTGCCTGAGTATCCAAGAAACATCAAAGAAATTGAGATTTTGATTCAGACAGGAGGAAATGGTGCTGTGGTGGCTGCATAGATAGAATAGTTATTGCCTATGTGTAACATAAGGACAGGAGGACAGAGCTCCAGAGACCCCAGAATACCAGGAGGTAATGGCCCATCATGGGGACAGCCCCAGTTCTGCAGGTTGAAGGGGTCAAGGAAGGGGAAAAGATGGTTAATTTAGGCAATAGGAGGAGAAGGGGGGGGGATAGGTAAGGAAGCTAAAGGAGGATGAAATTTTGAGAAGAGGTATGTGATCAGATATGTCTGTAGTAACAAGTCAGAAAAAAAACGAGACAAGAAACTGGCTCTGAATTTTGGGTAAGGATTTGGGGTGTAAGTCAGCACGAAGTGAGGAAAAGGAAGTAAAAGGAGGGAACTTCATGGAGCTTTTACAGTGGAAAGGCAGAAGGGAGATCAATGGCACTGACATGCAGATGGGGTTGGAAGTCAATTTTTGAGTTTGGGGCTTGTTTGGAGGTTCTGAAAAGGGTTTGTTTTGGGAAATAAGAATGGATGGGGAGAGATGGCAAAACGTGAGCGTAGAGGAAAGAGTAGGAAGATGTGAAAGGAGGGTACTGAAGTGTTAGAGAAGGAGAACGAACAGGAGGTCAAAGATATTTAGAGTTTGTTTTGACACTGGGGAGGGGTGGGTGTATATGAAGGACACCCATCTGTTCCTTTGAGATAACGGAAGGAAATAGGTTACTAAGTAAGCGCACAAAGCAAAGGGCATGTGGAATTAATAGACTGATTGGGTTAAGGGAGAACATGGCCGTGTGCATGGGTTTCATTTGTGAAGTGTCATATTTGCTACATGCTCTGTAAATCTCGATTTCTTGATTATGTTTTTGCAGTGCGGCTCCATGACAGTATTTCAGAAGAAGGTTTCCATTACCTCGTCTTTGATCTGTAAGTGTCTTTCTTTGGCTTTGATGCTTCACCAGTGATACAGGCATGTGGATGGTTGACTAAGAGTGGAATAAAAAGCACCTGCATTAATATAATTCTCCCTGTCTCTTTTGAGACCTGTAGATACCTCTGGCCTATATGACAAAAATCCATTGACTGTGTGGTAGAGGATGGACCAGGAAGGCTCCTGGCAGCAGGTGTAGGTGTGGAATGGCAAAGGAAGGCTATCCTGTATAGGGAGGCTGTTTGACTTTTGTCTCTGAGGCAACCTGGAGGGGGTCAGAGCAGGAGTGTTCTGCCCAAGCTTAGCACATGCTAAGCTTTGCAGAGATGCATGGGCAATTCATGCCCAGTGTGTCAACAGAAATGGCAGTCCAAGGGGTCAGTTACATGGATGTACCAGTGCTGGTGCTATGGTGGTGGAGCTCTGCCCTGGCTCCCCTGTGCTGCAGATCCCCACACAGGCTGCGGGAAAGCGCCCAGACAGATGGTGATGTTCATCCCGTGCAGCCTTGAGCTACACTTGCATGGGCTCTGTAACCTCCCTCGTTCTTTTACACTCCAGGGTTACTGGTGGGGAGCTCTTTGAGGATATTGTTGCCAGAGAATACTACAGTGAAGCAGATGCCAGGTAAGACTGTTTCCAGACCCTTCTGTGTATGTCCCACGTGTGTTGGCAAGTAGAATGAGTTCCCTGACTGCTGTTCTGTGCACGGCTTTGTTCTGACACTCTTGCTCCCTGTCTGGAAAAAAGAATTTCTCTTTCTGCTATTAGCATAAACTATTGTCACTGGTCAACCTCACTCACCGCAGCTGTAGCCCTTGCCACTTGCAGACGCTGCTGTCTTTGCCACTTGCAGACACTGTGCTCTTTTCTGGGAGACCTGTTGCTAGCAGCTTTGTCTGCCTGACCTTTCTGGTGGGTGGTGGCAGTGTGTCCTTAGTGAGCAAACATAGGGGAGAGCTGTCCTGCGTCTGTGAGAGTCTGCTTGGCCTCTGCCTTCTCCTGGTAGGGGTTCCAGTGATGTGCCGTTGCTGCTGGGCAGACCCATTCAATTTGCTTGTGTCTAGGTAATCGTTTACGGGGCAGGGGGGAGACGGGGCTTTGAAGGCTATGTTTCTGTGGAAGCCCTCTCTGACTGTGAGCTGGTTGGCACAGTGAAAAAAGGCACGATATGTGAGAGCAACCTTTGTATTAAAAAAAGGTAGTTATACCCTTCTTTTTCTGAGTGTGTCTCCTCTCTCCCCATGCGTGAGCTTCCTGAAGCGGTCTGTGCTTGTCCCTTTGCTGTTTGTGCAGGGTAGGTGTGTTGTGCAGCAGTAGCTGAGGGTGTTCTCTGACCCATCCGTCGGCTGGATGTGCAGCATTTAGAATCAAAGCTGGGATTAGGCAGCTCCTGTTCTGCTTTAGCAGGGCCTGAGAGTAGCCGGATGGTGACTTTTCACCCTGCTGGTGCTGCAGCTGTGTTCTTAGCCCATCCTAACCCTTGCTGGAGCAGGAATTAAGGGAGCCTTCAGAGGAGAGGGGTAAGAAGGGAGTAGTGGGTGCTGCTGCAGGGTGAGCTTGGTAGACAGTACCGTGAGGAAGGTCATACTGAGTGCAAGGAAGGAGAGAGTATGACCTGGTCTGTTAATGTAGGTACTGTTGTGAGGTCTGTGGGTGCTTATTAGCTTTTCCTGTGGTATGCTTATAGCCTCCATCTTCTGGGCATTGGACGATGCTTTCAAGTGAGGCATTGAACGGAATGCTCCGTTATGAGCCGTCTGCTGATTGGGAAGGCCAGTGGGCTCGTCATCTCTGATGAAGCTCCTGGTAGAGAGGTCTGAGAGCTTTGTAGATGTTTTCAGTGGGGTGTACAGATGTAGGCACAGCATCTTGGACAGATACACAATCACTCAAGCCATTCTGCCTTGAAGTTGGGAAGTTTTGAGGTTATCAGTCATCATCCTTCGCCAGTCTCTCTTGCCAGTGCCTGTTCCCTGAAATGATCAAGAGCTGGCAGTGACCAACACCACTCAGGAAAATTATGGCAGGGTTAGGGGAAAAGGAGAACTGTCTGCTGCTCGGTGAGCCTTCCTCAGGGTGCTCAGCGCTCTGACTGTCAGCTGGCCGGGTCTCACAGTGCCCACAAGATGACAGAATGAGACTCCTCCCTTTCTCTCTCCATGCCGAGCTGAATTCCAGAGCAGGCTGGGAGAGCAAGGGAGCGAGGTCCGTGCCAATCCGCCGCACTTGGCTCGCCTGGGACACCTCACACTTTTGCCATTTTTGGCCAGAAAATCTCTCTCACTCAGACTCTGCTCTGTTCTAATTATACATTTTTGTTTTGGGAGCGGGGAGATATTCATGGACTCCGACCCTGAGGATTGTGCTGCCAGCTCCAGAGGGATGGGTTAGCAAATACACAGTGCTGCACCTCCTCTCCTCTTCCTCCCCTCACCCTCTTCCTAGCCAATTTCCCTTCCCTCAAATATTTCACTCATTCCAAATTTGTTCCCCTGAGATTTGTAGAATTCAGTGAGGGGACTGACTGATCCTGCAGTGAGGACACAGACCTGTCTGAGTTGCCCACATCCGGGTGCTTACTTCCTAGCCATAGTTGTCAAAATCCCTACTCCATTCCATGTTCACCCTTGGAAACTGAGTAAATGTTTAGCAGAAGAGATGTTTTCAGCCAGAAATCTGATCCATGGGTGTGTTGCACTGTGCTTATGTGACAGGTGTAAATAACATCTTGCTTTTGTCCCTGCGGTTACAGCGGTGAGTGTGGCAGAGACAGGGTTTTCTGTGAGCTGAGGGAGCGCAACACACTGCACTTAACAGGGAATGAGTCTGCTTTTCAGATCACTAACCCCTTAAGTGGGATCTGTACTTAAAAGGCACCCAGCAAGCGGGTGTGTGTGCACATTGTGTATGTAAAGTGCCTGAGATGCTGCTCTGAAAGCTTTGCAAACTGGCAGGCAACCAGGAGTCGTCATCCTGAATTTGCCAGTGGAGGCTGCTGCTCAAAAAGTTTCTTTTTTTGCTCAGGACTAGCCTGGCTGAATGTTTCCTGGAGCGATTTGGTCTTGCTTGGCCCACCTCTGCTGCTGTTTGCAGATACTCAGGTGCCTCAGTTCTCCTGTGTGGGGTGGGCACTGTTGGCTGAAGGAACAAGTGAGATGCTTAGTGTGATGGGGAGGAAAGGAAGGAGATGATGGAAGGCAGGAGAGAGGCTTTGTGGTCCTGCTATAGATAGGATGTTTAGGATCTTGTTGCTGGGGGGGCTGGGGGTGTCCAGCTGTTACAGTACTGAGCTGTGGCATCCAGTGAGTATGATGAAGGGATTCAGCCTGGGGTCTTGAACTCTCCCTGGTATAAATGTAAAAGTTAGGGAAATAGCTCTGGGATGAGATGAGATGCCAAGCATATGGGTGTGTGTGCATAACTCTGTGTATCTCTCCCTTTATCTTGCAGCCACTGTATTCATCAGATACTGGAGAGTGTGAATCACATTCACCAGCATGATATCGTGCACAGGGACTTGAAGGTAATACTTTCTCCATGCCGCAGAGGCTGAGGAGAGCAGCCAGGGGATCATTGGAAGAGGCAAGACAGGAATACTGTGTTGCCAGCTGGCAGGGTTGTGTTGATTTATTTTATTTTAACTTAAACTGGGCTGAGGGGTTCCTGAAGCACAAATTTGCTCCTTCAGAGTTTTCTAGAGGGTGTGCTGAACTCCCAAGGAAGCTTTTAGTCTTCATGAACCTTGCCAGCTCTCAGCCTCTCTGAGGCAGCTCCAGGATGGAGTAGTTGTGAACCTTGGAGTGCAGTATGCTTTCAGAGAAACTTGGGTAGGATTCATTATAATGAAGGACACTTTCTAGTCTGCCATTGAAGAGATCTCTAGAGACCTGGGGCAATCTCTGCTCAATCTGCCAGGATGAGTTTGTCTGCACAGAGCATGTATATTTTTATTCTGCACTGTTGCCAAACACATGCCATTGGGCTAGGGCAGAGAGGCACAACGAGAATTTTTCGTGTCATTTCTTTCTTCTCTCATCAGTAGAAGCACTTTTAATCTAAAACCAAAACTGCTGGCCAGTTAAACACTGAGTGAATCAACCATTTGCCACATTATAACACATTTATAGACCCAGAACCCCCACAGTGTAGTTACTTAAAGTCCCTTCCCATGCGGTGCCAACTGTACTGGGAGCTGGGCAGGCTCCAAAATGAAGAGGTTTGTGAGGGAAGGTCTGCCTGCCCTGCAGCCCTCACTGTCTAAAGTGGGAATGGTGATGGCCACCAGTGGTCCAGTTAAATTAATGCAGGATGACTAGTGTTGCTTTTGGTTTGTTATACAATGCAGAAGGGGAAAAGTATAAAAATATTTTGCAGAGAGCAAGGTAAAAGCATGTTGCAAGCTCGGTGGCAGTATTACCCTGGTATTTTGATTTAGTGGACAACTGTTAACCCTTAGTGTTTCTGGCAAACTCCCATGCAATGCTTTTGGCTTTCTGATTCAGAGCACTGTGAAAAGATGCAAGTGATCTGCTGTGGAATGGCTGCTCTGGTGTAGAGCTGAGACCTACTCTTGAGAAAGCAGGCTCCAAGAGGCACTGCTGCCCAAAATCAGGGCCTATACGAAAATCCGTAGTATTATCCAGTACACCATGGTTTAAGTTTTCCTTTGCATCCTGTGTTCAGATATAATCTGTTTTGCTTCCCAAGTTTTGTTTATGTGAAAGTTGTGAACTTGTTTAGAACTTAGCAGCTTCTAGACACTCCCCACTGTAGTTAATGTGTTTCTTCTGTTGCTTACTGTGATTCACTGAAACTATCCAGGCCTGAGGAGTAGCCATTCCTTTCAGCAATAAAAGATCCCCTGCTCTTTATTTAATATTTAGCTCCTTGCCAAAAGCTTGGCCTTCAGGATCAGTGTGTAATAACTGCAGAACTTGCTTCAAGGGAAGTTTTGTCTTTTGCACCTCCCTCTCATAAGCCTGTCTTTTGGCTGACATGCTCTTAAAGAACTTCAAATGTTAAGCTGTACATAGGGACTGTAAGAAATTAGGGAATGCCTTCACATCCTTACCAAAAAGTATGTGAAACCTGAGACGATGCATATGTTGGCAAACATGCACATGGATAAGCAGCCTTAGCCTTAAGGTGTTTGAAGCTGTATTTTAGAAGCAAATAGTGCTTAGCTAGCACAAGCCTGGCCTAAATTTCACTGTTCCTTAGTCAAGCCAAGCCCAGGTGTGATCTGAAGTTGGGAGGGATTTTCAGAAGACTTCATTTGTCTTCTGCTTTAGTGACTTGTTTACACTGGTGAATTTTCATCAGTGTAGCTTGATTAACACAATGGTTTCCACTTCCCAAATAGTGAAAAGCCAGTGGCATCCAAATGTATTGAGACTCAGTTCCGCTTCCTTCCATGCTGCTTATGGCAAGGACGGTGATGAGCAAGGCTGTTCTCCCTTCATTCAAAGCAGAAGCAAGGCACATGCCCAGTACTTTAAGGCAGGTGAATGAGCAAAGCATCTTGTTCTTGTTAGGCAGAACAGGGATAGAAGGTTGCCATGGGATGAAACTGGTGAGCAGGCTGCAAAAAAGACCTTCATCGAATTTGTGAAACTAGGACAAGCTTCTGTTTCTGGATTTCTAGACTTCCATCTTGCTCAGTTAAAAAAATCAAGTTGATAAGAATTGCACGAATGATCAGAAGTGGGAAGAATGAGAAATCATTGTCCTGCCTGTCTACAAGTTGGGTTTCCTGCAGAGCTGTAATAGCCACCAACTTAAAGGCTTTGGGGTTTCAAAAGGTCCCGTGTAACTAGCTGCTCTGGTGCTTCAGAGGAAGCTGCTGACTCTCAGTCTAATTTTTGGAGTTGTGTTAAGCCTTCTGAAGTCCTCAGCTGGAACACAACAGAATTATGATTCAAGTGAGATTCATGTGAGGTGGAAATGTGAGGGGGAAAAGTCTGTCTCCCTTTCCTGGCCCATGGGGGAAGTGACATGGCTGCTTGTCATATAGGTGATGGCAGCAGTAGCAAGACAGCATATTTTATGCTGCTGTAAATATGTAGCATGAAAAAACAGCTTACAAGAATACTTACTGCTGTGCTGCTTATGACAATTTGAGGCTGAGGCTTTTTCTGTAAGGGATGAAAGCTACTGCCTATCCAGATGATGCCTTCCCACATTATGGTGCTGTATTTGGCAGCCCTTATTAGCATCATATTTACTTTTCCAGTGCCTTGGGGACTGTGTAATGTTCATGGGGAGAAACATCACTGCAGATTGTATCTACTGCATCTTCCCCCCCCTTCTCTCCCCCCTTCAATTACTCTCTGCAGGGATGACAGAACCAAATTTTGGGTTCTGTGCTGCAGGAGCTGTACTGCCAGTGCCCTCTGGTGTCAGCATGTAACGAATGGGCTGGGTTGGGAGAGGCTCTGGCTCCTACAGAAGATTTGTGTTAGACTTCAGGATTTTCTGCCACTCTAGGTCAAGGCCATTTGTTGCTGTTGCTCTGCCTTCACCTGAACAGCTTTAGTACATGCCTGCTAAATTCAGTCAGCAGATTGAATTTAATCATGTGAATACTGAGGTAGGAGGCTTTAACGAGGATATCAGTCTTTCATTCTTACTCCCTTTTTTCTTTCTTCTCCCCAGCCTGAGAATTTACTACTGGCAAGTAAATGTAAGGGTGCTGCTGTCAAACTGGCTGACTTCGGACTGGCTATAGAAGTCCAGGGAGAGCAGCAGGCCTGGTTTGGTAAGAGTGTTTGAGCTTTCCCACTTTTTGCTCCCCTGTTTCCTGGTGGCTGGTTGAGTTGCACCCTCCCTGGGTACTTTCTCTCAGCTCTTCCAGCACGCTTGTGCATATTTGGCATTGCTGCTTCCTTTCCAAGCATCTCAGCTTCTAGGTCTTTGGGCACAAGCCTAGGTGCAATAGAGGAAAAAATATGATAAATAAAGACAGAAAAAAAGGATATGTATTTCTCTATTTTTCTTCTTGGTTTACAGTAGGTGCTAGTGTCAGAGATGAATGCAGCTGCTAAGTTTAGACCCTGATCTGAAGTTTTCTGCCGCTCAGGAGCGTAGACATCTGCAGTTATGGATGGCCTTATCTTTGTTTAGCTAAAACATAATTAGAAATGAGACCTTCTCAGGCTAAACATCAATCCTGAGACTCTGCAGTGCTGCAGAAATTCTGGAGAGAAGGCTGCTTCTCCTGCTCTGCCCCACACCATTTGGTAGTCAGATGTGTCCCATCTGTGTCTTGTGTTTTCAAACTCCAAGCTATTACATGCAACAGTGATACAAGGCTTGGCATACAAGTTTGTGCCCAGCTGGTTGACACGGTCTCTCTTTCTTTTCTGTTTTTTTCTGCAGTATGTAGACACTCGATCCTATCTGATTTTCTCGTTTGTTTTTGTTTGGTTTTTTTCCCCCCTCTTTCAGTTGGTTTAACAAGAGGTAGCTCTAGCAAATATGAGTTGAAGGGTGGGAAATGGGTTTTGGAATTTGTTGGTTACCACTAATGGATTTAGTGATATGACAAGATATCTTCTGCTTGGGTACTTTAAGTACTTCATGTCATCCATTTCCTGGCAGGGTTTGCTGGCACTCCAGGCTACCTCTCCCCTGAAGTCTTAAGAAAAGATCCTTATGGAAAACCAGTGGATATATGGGCATGTGGTAAGATTCTGTCAACATGTTTTACACTTAAACAACACCGTTTCATGTAGAAGAGCAATTCCTTATAACCTATTGCTGAGAGGGTGCACAGTGCTCCTTCTTATTGGGTGGAGAGATGAAGGCACACTTGAGGATAAACACCTTGTGTAGACGGAATTAATACTGGAGCCTGAACTCATTTGATTCTGGCTCCTAATCTTTTCCTCAGGCCATCTATCAGATGTTTGAGACTCAAGAGATAGGACTTGTCTATGCTTTGCAGAGTCAGTTGTTTAGATAACTGTAGGAATTTCCTGTTACACTAAGTACGTAGAAGATGAAATACTGAAGAGAGTTAATTTTTTTTAAAAGGTAAAGATGAAGTGTAAATGTATCTGGTACTGCTAAGTTTAAAGATGTGTAGTATCAGTGTTGCCTGACATGGACTAAATGGTTCTCTGCAGGCCAGTGAGTGTTAGCATTGTCAGTGTCATTTTTGTCCCAAGACCATGCACAGTAAGCATCTAAAAATGTAGCCCTTCCTAAAAAGTTCCTTGCTGAACAGCAACCCCAGGAGATGTGGCTTCATTTTATTCTGAGAGCAGCTGGGAGTTGTGGCTCACCAGCCATGATAGCCAGAGGAGAGTAGAAGGACATCATGTACCTTGTTCTAGCTCCTGGCAGCTGGCATTAAGAGCTGAACATGAAATGCCAGGGTGAGGTTCAGCAGAGGAGAGGTTTGTACTGTCTTTTTCTATCTCAAAAGGCTAAATATGATGGCAAATGAAGATATAGAGCAATCATTGCCTTGGGGACTGTCAAGAGGGAAGGAAGAGGGGCTGAAGGAATAATTGGCATATTAGCCTAACCATAGTGTATCTGTGTCTCTCCCTCCCAGGAGTGATTCTGTACATATTACTAGTGGGGTACCCTCCCTTTTGGGATGAAGATCAGCACAAACTCTATCAGCAGATCAAAGCCGGAGCCTATGACGTAAGGGCACTTTCTTGCTGAGTACCTGCATGGGTGTAGAAGCCATCCAAAACACGGCACTATCTTACTTGGTGTCCAGCAGCAGGCCCCAAACTACTGTGCAAAGTGACGTTTGGCGTGTTCATACACCTCGTTGTCTTCACTGCCTGGGATACAGTCCTGTTTGGGGCTACTGAAAGGATATGTGGAAAGCATCGCAGTGGGCACCAAGACGTTGCTGGTCATTAGGGAAATGCAGAGCTGGAAATGGAGATGGTGGGAAATGGTGTATTCTAGTGCATTTACCACAAAGTGCTGCAGACGTAGTCAATGTGAACTCTTTCAGGGGAGCAGAGGGAAGGTAGAATGAAGGAGCCTGTCTTTATCAAGGCCTAATTGAAAGTAGGGGAAAGTATTCTGTAGAATAATAGCTTAAATTATGGCCTCTGGTCTTCTCAGTGCCAAAGCAGAATTTCTCCCAGTTGTGGAAAGCCTGGAGCCCAGCGAGAAGACTGAATGGCAGAGGCCTTTGGAGGGGTGGCTTCGTGATAGGGATCAGTGTGGTGGATTGGAGGCTGTTCATGAAACAAGTGCTTGAAGCATGGCAAAACTGGGGTGTAAAAAGTACCTGAAGGAGAGGAATAGCAAGGAGGTTGGTAGTGGGGAGCAAAGGTGGTATAAAATGTGGTTTCAGTACCACAGCTTGAAAGTTTGACATAAATTCTTCCATGTCAGGAGAGGCTCAGGAGGGAAGAAGGAACTCCTGGAAATCCCAGCTCAAAGCCTGTGGGCATGAATATCCAGAGGAAGTTGGGGAGTTCATTTTGTAGGTTGTCTTGTGGTTTGTATTAAAAAAAAGAAAAGTGAGGTTCTGCTGGACCCCAGATACCTCCCAGCTACTGTGCCTGAGACCATGTGCTCAGCTCTACTGGTGAGACCAAAGGTCTGCCCAACCCTGTGTCCTGGCTCAGTGGCTTCCTGAGTGAAAGGAAAGTGATGTCTTTGTACTTGATAGCCTTAAATGGACTTGTGTTCTTCTCTTGCCTTCCTGCCCCTCTTGTTTCTGTGTTGCTTGTTATTTGAAGTGGTTTTGCACTAATTATATCAATGGGGATTTTCAAAGCACTATAGGGGTTAATGTCTAACTCTTTCTGTAAGTCATGAGGAGTGAAGTGCCTGATGCCTCCTATCTACCTGTCGTTTTTGAATTCTTACCTATAACAAACAAGTTCCAGTAGAGTCCTCCCCTGTTTTCCCTGGTAGAAAACAGCTCAAGTTTTACTGGTGTACCTGCCCTTGGTGTCCTTACCCCAGCACTGAGGGGCCTATATGCACTGGACTGGTTTGTTGTCCTCTCTTGACCATAGAGGAAGAGGCAACTGTGAATTTGACTTTGTGCTGTTGGGCAGGAGTTTTGCAAGCCATTACCATGAATACTTCAGAGTTTGGGGGCGGGGGGGGAAGTGTCCTGGCTTGAAAGCCCAGTGTCATAATTTTTGAGTAGTCTCTTGCAACATTTGCAGAATAAATTATATAAAGCCTTGCTGACGCCTGAGAATGCAGAAATAAGATTATATGCAAATCAAATGTAGTGGGTGTATTTTTATGACCCAACTGAGCAAAGCACAAAATGCAGGAGAAAGAGATGGGATAAACTTTTTCTAAATAATGTAGTACTGTAAGGAAATATTGTCAGGATAGATCAATCTTTCTCCCCCTTAAAGACAGGGGACTTTATCCCAACAGCACATTTATCTTTGTGTACTCAAGTTCACCTGTATTTGTACAGTAGATTTGTAGGAGTGAGACATACTGCATTTAATCTCAGCATGCTGTCATCTATACCACATGGAAGCATCTGGAGGATGGCGTAAATATCCCATCTTTATCATTACTGGAATTATAGGAGAGAACAGTTACACCTCGTGGATGATCAGCAGCTGAAATACTTGAGATTCGTTTTCTTTGTTCCTGTGCTTCTGTATTTCCTTGCTGGTGGGTTGCTATGCCTAAGTGACTGGTATTGTTCCAGGATATTGTGCTTTGTGGTGGGGAAAGTATACCTGATGGGATGTTCTCTGTTAGCAATTTTCATTTTCACGAGGCTTTACTGTAGTTAAGTGTTTCTGATTTTGCATATATTGTTACAGCTTTTTAGCATGCTGGAGAAACAGCAAGGTGGGGTAAAAAAGATAGTGCTTGTGTTTTTCATGTCAGAACTCAGTTAAAAAGATCTGTGACTTTACTTTTTTGACTGTTGAGTGTGAAAGAAATTCAAAGGTCTGAATGACTCCTGAAAGGCTTTTAAACTGTTAATCTTCCTGCCTGTGTCTGGCAAATGATACAAGTGTGTCCTGCTGTCTGGTACCATTCATTTGCTGGATTCTGTATGATTTTCATTCAGCGTGGGTTTTCACAAAAACTGATGTGTTTTGCAAATATGCTAGCCCTGGTATCAAAAGGCCAAAAGCTAGAACTCAGCTGTGTAGGAGAGAATCTCTTCTGTTAGTAGAAGATATTTTTAGTTCATCATCTGTTCCTTCTTCCTGTTTCAGTTCCCATCACCTGAGTGGGACACTGTGACTCCCGAAGCAAAGAATTTAATCAACCAGATGCTGACGATAAACCCAGCAAAGCGCATCACAGCTGACCAGGCTCTCAAACATCCATGGGTCTGCGTAAGTGTTTTCATCTCTTACAGATTGATTTGAGGTTTACCCTGAACTGAGATGTCAAGAAGACTTAGCTGCAGAGGAACTCAGAATTTATTTTTTTTTGGAGGCTGACCTTCAATGAGCCAACTTTGTCATGCTATGGTGCTTTTGGAAAAAAAAAAATCCCGTATTCTTTTAGAAGTTTTGTGAATGTCCATAGTTTCTGGTTTTCCCCACATCTTCTCTTCCAATCTGTATCATCCTAAAATGTCCAATGGAGTTTGGTGTCAGACAAAATATTTTACGATTATTTTGTTCTCCATCTCTACTTCAGTTTATGGTATTGCATCTTTGCAATGTTAGAACATATTTACTGTGCTGCAGCTTAACTCACTGTAAACTTGAAATCAGCAAAAAATTTCTTGCTGTTCTCTGCGTGTAGTTTCTGCCTTGCCAGACCCCACACATAAGTATTTTTCCATCTTTTGCAAAGTTGGCAAGGAAATCATAGAACGCAGCTGGGAGTGGGTGTAGAGGAGGGCAGCAATGGTGCACTTCTATCTTTGCAGAGTGAAATAGTCCCACCTAAGTCTAACCAGATGCTTTTGTAATACCATAGCATACTTCTGCTTTTTAGGATGTGTCTAGTGTGTTCCTTTGCTCATTTGTTCTTGAGAAACTGTGGTAGTTTTTTTCCTCTGCCAGAAAACAACAAATTAGCAATTTAAATTTACTTATGTGAACATCTGTGTAACAGGACTGTAGCATCTGCTGTAAAGTCAAAACTTCACACTAGCTGAGACTTTACATCTCTGTTTTATATCTCCTGGCATGCTGGTAATCAATAGCAGTTCCTGTGTATTTTTTTTGTCCCAATGCCTGTAACCAAAGCTGTATGTATTACGATAGCTCGTTCCCTGTGGCAACATAATATATAACAGTTCAAGAGAGGCTTTCCTTCTCTGAGTTACACAGAGTTCGATTTCACTTCACAGCCATTTCAGCCTCTCACCCAAACTGCCTCCTCTTGAGTCTGTTGTTTCCATTTGCTCTGCAGTCTCTGTGTGTGCAACATACATTTTCTTTCTGGAGACGTATTGCTCCTGTGAAGTAAATGTGGTAGGAAATCTTAAAAGTTTATCTGAGATGCTGAGTTTCTTAACTTCATGAACTTCTTGAAGTACATGTCCTGGCTCTTATAAGCCCACATTGAACAACTGGACATCACTGTCACTCCTAAGGAGGCTGGATGAACAGCAATCACCAAAGTTGTTAGAGGACAGTTTAGGTACATTCTCCCTCCACACTGCTGTGTGTACTGCAGCAGGTGATTAGCTTTGACGACAGGATCAAAGCAGAGACTTCCCATGGAACTAGCTGAATATGAGCATGGTTTACAGTTCTTTTGGGTATTGCAGATTTTTTTTCAAGCAGGAGAGAGGTAACGGAGGGTTTGTACACACTGATTTGCCAAGTTAGTAGTTCACCCACTGTCCTTGTAAAGGGAATTCAGGCTTGTGGCTCTATGCAAGAGCAACAGCTACTTTGGCTTTAGTCTCTGGTTTCCTCATGTGGTCTAAATGCCTGGCAGCATCAGTCTCTGGTTTCTTCATTTGCTCTCGATGACTGGCAACACTTCTGGGAAGTTCTCTTTTTGCAGCTGATGGGATCCCAGTCTACTGTGGGTGACAGGTGTGCATCACTGGCTAGAGGTTATGCTCAGGTTTTTGCATTGGTATAATAGAGCTATATGATCTTTCCTCTTACACACTGAAAATCTGTTTCTGCAAAACTGATGCAAAGGTGCCAAGGCCTCTGCTAGTCAAGCACTTACATTCAGGGAGTTGCCATGTCCAGGAAGGCTACTGCTCGCTAGTATTCACTTACTGCTTGGAATTTCCCCTTAGAGCTGTAACTAATGCAACTCAAATCTTTTCTGTAGTGCCTCTAACTCAGTCCCCCATGAGTATGCTTGTTCGTTTGACTTTGTCTTCTTACTATCTTGATCCATTTGTGTGCCTGAGAGACAGGGAGCATTGATTCTTACCTGTACCTCAGTCATAGGGTTTTTTGGGCACAGTCCTGTAATAGCTGACCTTGCTTGACTTAACATGTCTTGCTGTATTGGGAAGTTCTTAAGTTATGAACCGGTTGCAGTGTTTTGCAGCCATGCAGTGGTGAGAGGCTTGGCCATGTCAGCTTGCATTTCATAGTTCTGTGCAAGTGGAGCGAACTCCCCTGGCTGATTTGGTTAGGGTATGTTCTTGATCTTTTGTTGTTCCTCCTTTTCAGCAACGATCCACTGTGGCTTCGATGATGCACAGGCAGGAGACTGTGGAATGCTTGAGAAAGTTCAATGCTAGAAGGAAGCTAAAGGTAAGTATATGCTAGTTTGCCTTAAGTTTATTTTTAATCCTCTGAATTTGAGGTTTATGCCTTCCTAGCAAAAATATTTTTTATTGGGTTTTTTTTTTATGATTAGCTCACTAATGTTAGTGAAGCACCTTATGTGGTCCTCCAGTAAAGGGTACTGAAGTAGTGTATTGAGGAGCTGGGTGGTTTCTTTCTCCAAAGCTATAGGTTTCCCATGCTTCTTCTGCTACATAATCACCTCTTCTACTTTCTGCAAGAGAGTTGAAATACAGCAACTGTTTTTAAATGCTGGGGATTTTAGTTCTGATCACTCCCTGCCTCCCAGTAATAGTGTATCAGTTGCCTGTAGCTAGGGCAAAGCCTCTGTCTGGCCTGTGCATGAAGCAGCTATCTGCTTTTTAAAAGCTAGGAAGCAACTACGTGTCTAAGCATAACTCTCAGTGCCATTTTAGATTTCCTAGGCTGTTCTGCCTGACCTCTCGCTGCTGCTCTAGGAAGGCAGGACTGCAAGCAGTCCCATGTCAGGCCCAATACCCACATATGGGAATCCTGGATACACTGGGACTTCCCAGCATTGGGATACCTCTGCTTTGGCACCTGATGCACTGTGTTCTCCACTACTCAGTCCAGCCCCTTTCTGAAGTGAGTGACGCTGTCTGTTATCCCTGCTTTCTCTTCCCCACAGGGTGCAATCCTCACGACGATGCTTGTGTCTCGGAATTTTTCAGGTAAGTTCTCACTGTTCCCATCGCTTCCTTGGTTTTGTTTTGTGTATGTGAGTCAGGGGATATTTTAATCATTTCGGGGTTGAGTAGGAGGGGAGGAAACATGCTCACAGTTCATCATGGTGCAATGGCGGTCACTTTGCCTTGGCTGGTGACAAGTGTGAAATAAGAAGTGGATTGTCTAGGCAGGAGCACATGGTGCCATAGTCTGGTACAAAACAGAAATGAAGTCAGCTGCCACAATTCTCTCATGATATTTTGTTATCAGATTATTTTTGGGAAATTCTAGCTGGTGTTTGTTAGCTTTTCCGTCTGAAACCAGGAGTCGAGAACTCTTATTAGGTAGCAGCGATTCCTTTAGACCTGAGGCAGGAACACAGGGCAAGTAATAATATTGGTGAGAATAGGGATGGGTGCTGTTTTGGTATTGTATTACTTTTGACTCATCAAAAATGGGTCTGAAGCATGTAGCTATTAGCTATTTTCTTTCTTGGAGTCTCAGAAGTGGTTTTCATCCTTTTAAGCTTAATAACTGGTAGTCTGGCTCCCACCCAACTGCATTACGTAGTGCACTTACTGAAAATGCAAATCTCAACATGCAAATCAGTGCTTTTTGGAAGATGATTGTCTTGGCTCAGCACATCTAGGTGATGCAGTCTTAACTGTGTTCATTTCCATTTGGGTGGAAAACCTCTATTTCCAAGTGCTTTTGGTTTATGAGATTGTTTGCTTTCTTTGTCCTCTTTGCCAGTTTTTTTTTTTCCCTTTTAAAAAGGGCAATCATTGAATGCATGAGTCAGACTTTTATTGCACCTGACTACAGTTACTTTCAAGTGAAAGTCTGCTGTATGGATTACAAGTGATGATGAATGAAATGGAAATGTATTCATTTCATCTGGCCATTTACTAATGGTGGATACCAATACTTACATTTTGGGCGATGTTACATTGAACTTCTAATTGGAATGAAAACCTCTGTGAAATCATCATCCCAGCATTCAAAATGCACATTGATGCATACATTCTTTTGTAAAATCAAGGCAGCATTTTTAACCTCCTGCACGGTGATCTTAAATTTAAAAAAAAAAAAAAAGTGAAATCAAGCTATAATTAAGGGACAACCCTCAGCAACTTCAGAACAGTTTTTCCTTGGTTCTTGCTTTCAGGTGGACCTGTGCCAATATGTCAGGACTACTTGTGGTTACCGCAATTTCTTTTCACTGTGTTTCTGATAGTTTGGCCTTAAAGGAATAGAATAATTTTCTCCATTCACCTGTCCCAGGATTGTACTATTACAGGACTTAAAAATTATACATCACTTTCTGAGAATGATTCTGAAATAACTGCTTGAGGAGCAGAACAATAGGGCACCATGACAGGGCTTCTGCAGAACTGTACAAAACTTAACATTTTCTTGGGCTTTCTGCTGGTGTGAACCATTTTTTATCTATTCACACAGCTAGTTTTTATTTCACTTAATTGATGGTTCTGAAATAGTCAGGGTTTTGTCTTTTTTTTTTTAAACAACAGTTTTAGGTTAATTTTTAGTCTGCAGATGTTGTCACTTCTAATGAAGCTGCAGAAGTGCTTAGGTAAGAAAATCTCCTGTGGCCCAGATTTTGAGTACATGAAATGCCTGAGAGAAGGATTCTCCTTAATGGTGTGTGACCTATACAGCCACTTATTCCCTGAGCTAGTATCATGGAGGAAAAGGCTTGCTCTGCTCATTCATCTCCGTTTCAAGGGCTGAAGCTGCTGGATCCACTTCAGTTAACAGCTGAAGAAAAGGAAATCCTAGGTGGCCCATAGTAAGTGCAGGGTTCTCAGTGTCACTGAGTTCTGCTTTGAATATAAGCTGTGATCCCAGGTAATGAGACATTCTGAAAAACTGTCCAGAAAGAAATGTTGTGAACTTAGATGCAAAGCCTTTATAGCCTCTGCAGATAGTAGCAGTTCATAATATTTTGATGGGTTTTGAATCAGCTATGCTTGTTTTCTTTGCAGGACTGTGTGTAATATGAGCTTGACTTTTTTTTTAATTGTTATTATTTTTTAATTTACTTAGGTTTTTTTTAATTGCTGCAATTGAAATTCATAAATCTGCTGGAATTGAAGAATAAGTGCATGCTAACTGAAAGTAAAAAGTTAGAAGGTCCACGTGGAAAGTTTGAGTAGAGCTCAGACTTTTCCTATCAGGACAAGTCGTCTAACTGCACTTGAAAAGTTCTAATATAGCA